TGATTTTTGTCTCCTTGGACCAAAAGCCTGCATCATCCTCTGGCCCTTTCTGTTCTTCCAGCCCTTTCTGACTCTTCCAGCCCCTTTTTAGTCAGCTCCCTTTGTGTTTCTGGAACCCAGAGCACGTATGTCTTTCCTCAGTTCCCATGGCAACCAAATGCTGTGTTCCATTACTGGTCTCTGATACTGGATGAGATAAAATACAGTGCCCTGGAGGGGAGCTTCTTTGAAGATGTAGATTTATAGATTTATTAACAGGCTTACAAAAATGGTGTGTATACGTCATGTTTATTTCGTCTTAGGAGCTCAAAGCACTTTACAAGCGTTACTTAACTCACATTCAAACATGCTGGTGACTTGGAAGTTGTGGGCGCCATTTTGTTATCCTCGGTATGCAGATTGGAAGCTGAGGCAGGGAGGAAAGAGGCGACTTGTCTATGACCACAAGCTGACTCAGGCAGAGCTGGGCTTCCTTGGTATACAGGGCCATGTGCCTGGTGGGATTTGGTTTTCCGGCCCGTTTGTGGGATTCTGTGATGTAGGACAGGGTTAGTCAGTTAGATTGGCATAAAGAGGACACATAGATCTGCTTCAGCAGCCACCTTGCTTTGCTTGTTTTCTGGTGCAGTGCTTCCAGAATGCAGCAGTAGGGAAATTTGTGTGCTCATTATAAGCATCTCAGCCATCCTGCGAATAAATATAAAGAGTTGGGTTTGTTTTCCAACTGTGAATTTAAGAATCTCCGAATGATTACACTCTCTGTGTCACTCTCTGCTGGGTCTCCTTCTACTTCTCTGACAACTCATTCTCAGCATCCTTTACCAAGTCCTCCTCCTCCACCCACCACTTGAGTATTAGTATTCCCAAGAGCAACCTACTGACCGTCTGTCTGCTCAACATCTATTCCTCATCTCACGCCTTCCCATGATTATAGCCAGTACCTCATTTTGTCATACTGTGGTGGCTTGAGTGTTGCTATGATGCTGGAAGCTATTTCAAATACCATCAGGGCTACCCATGGTGGACAGGTTTCAGCAGAGCTTCCAGACCAAGACAGACTAGGAAGAAAGTCCTGGCAATCTACTTCCAAAAACTAGACAATGAAAACCCTATGGATCATTCATGGAATCCAGACTTTATGGAGCCATAGGGGCTGGATGAACTCCTGAAACTATTGTCCTGAGATAATCTTTAAACCTTATACAAAAAATATCCCCTTAAGTTTTCTTTAAATGAAACATAGTTTAACTTAATTAGTAAAGAATGTCTGCCTTGAGTATTGTGCTCCTTGAAAGAACTATCTATACGGGATCAAAGTGACAACAGCAACTCAAAAGGTTAGAGGAGATACAGGGGGCAGTGAGGTCATGTTAATGGTGGAGGAATAATCCCAAAAAGGAGGGTGAGGGTGGCTGCCCAGCTTGAGGAATGTAATCAGAGTCAGTGAATTGTTCCTGTAGAAGTTCAGTTGGTATAGGTTTTCCTGTGAATATTTACAACAACAAAATAAATAAGTTTAAGAAAAAAGAAAACCCGATGGATCAGAACAGAATATTATCTGATGTAGTACTGGAAGATGAGCCCCCTAGGTTGGAAGGCACTACACAGCAGCCACAACCATGGACTCAAACGTAGCAACAATCAGGAAGACGGCATGGAACTGGGCAGTGTTTCATTCTGTTCCACATAAGCTCCTCATGAGTCGGACCCGACTCAATGGCAACTAGCAACCACCACACATCTCTGGTGGCTCCCAAATGTCTGTCACTGGACTCATCTCTGTTCCAAATCAGTATCTCTGACTCCAGTTCCTTCCCAAGTCAAAGGAGAGTTTCACGGTGCCAGACACACGTTTAGGTACGCAGTTACTTGTGGTTGCATGAATGGATTTCACAGAGGCACCTTAATATCAGTGAACCTGCAAACCAAATCATTACCCTACCCACCCCTCCTCTCTAAAGCAACTCTTCAGCTTATATTCCTTATTCAGGTTGGTGGTATCAGCTTCCACCCAGAGGCTTAACTGGAAGCCCTGGAGAGCCCTCAGCTCTTCCCTTTCCCTTACTCCCTTCCACGTCCACGCACCTCTCACATCTGCCTTTGCCCAGGTCATCATCATCCCACATGTGGCTGTTCTGGGCCTCCAGTGATTCCATAGCCCCCACTTCTCCCAGCCCCCCACTGTCACTAGAGGGATCCTTCTAAAACACAGTCTGTCGGATCAGCCCCTTATTTTTAAAACCCTTCCATAGGTCCACTTTTGCATCTAGCATCAGGTTCAAACTCAGCATAGCATTCAAGACCCTTCCCAGTCTGGCTCCAGTCAATCCATATTTCCTGTTCTAATTCCCACCACTGTCCCCTTGGTTTGTGTTTAGGTATTATATGAATGAATGAATGAATATGGGGGTGAATAGACTTAAAAACTTAGCTCACTGATAGGTCTTAAGTACTATCATATTTGGGTCCATCAGCCTGCAGACAGTAATTCTTATTGTTTATCCCAGAATTGTGCATTTATTCAAGGGGTCTAATATGTATCAGACACTGTTAGGTGCTCAGGATACATCAGTGGACAAAAGTGACAAAGATCCCTGCCCTTACGGAGCCTATATTCTACCAGGGGGCACAGACCTAAACAATGAGCATAATAAGTATATTGTCCAGTATGTTAGAAAGTGAGAAGTGCTGTTTAAAAAAAGTAGACCAAAGGAAGAAGGTTGGGAGTGAGGAGTGGGGTGGTGTTCAGGTTGCGATATTAAATAGGGTTTTGAGAGTCAACCTAATTGAGAAGGTGAGAGTGTGCAGATGGTTAACATGCTAGGCTGCTAACTGAAAGGTTAGAGGTTCAAGTCCACCTAGAGGCACCTCGGAAGAAAGACCTGGTTGTCAACTTCTGAAAATTCAGCCATTAGAAACCCTATGGAGCACAGTTGTACTCTGACACTCCTGGGGTCGCATGAATCAGTCAGCTCGATGGGAACTGGTTTGGTTTTCTTACCTGGTTCATATTACTTTAGATTGCTGCCCTGTTCTTCCCCTTGGGAGCCAAGAGTTGAAAGGCTGTTCTGAGCGAATTACAGAGTAACAATAGTAGCTACTGTTTATTGCGAGCTTACTATGTGATAGACTCTGGGCTAAGCACTTCACATGGCCTTTTCTCCTTTAATCTTTACAACAGCCTTGGGAAATTGATGGCTGTCATTATCCCTGTTTGACAAACAGATGAAGGACCTGAAGCTTAAAGGAATTTGTCGAAGACCATGAGCTAGAAAGTGGCAGAGCTGGGATGTGAGCACACCCACTAGCCATTTTGCCTCCTGCTGATGAATGGAGACACTCAAGGACCACTCCTTTGGGCCTTTGCTAAACCAGTAGCTTTTCAGAGAACACAGTTCAATATCACAGCCTTAGAAGGGGCTGCAGAGAGCACGCAGCACCTGCTTCCTCAGCCAACATCAGATTCGCCTCATGCAGGTGGTTTTCAGTCCAAAGCCATTCTTCATAAATAAGTCCAGTGTCTTGCAGGCTTTTATCACCAGAAAAATCCTCCCTTCATGTTTATCTTTTGTCTACTAATCCAGTTTCTTCTCATTTGATCCACAGTAAAGCTAGGGCTCAACTTTCTTCTCCTGCCATAGAATCTTTCTTCGATATACTTGAGGAGCTGAGCCTCCTCTACTCCGAACTGGTCTCAGCTCCATTGGTGTTCTGTCGCTGTTGTCTAGACATCAGAATCGCCACATCCCTGAAATATGAAATCCTGAGTGTTTTCATGCCAGTAACCCATAATCAATGAGCTGGGTGCTTGCTGAGCATGACTAACCGCTTATAAAGAGCAAGGCATGATTCAGAGAACCCCGCCAAAAGTAATGCATCTGGCCTGATCCTGGCCTGGTGCAAATGCATACTTTTGAGTCATAAAGCTCATTAGAAATGGGGTTGTATTTGACTCTAATAAAGATTTTAGTGCAGCCCAGATTTAGAGTGGTATATTTAGGGTAGCCACAGAATGAATTTTAGAGCGTAGGCAGATGACGTAGGGGAAAGAGTAATAATCTTGCAAAGGAAGGCGTTAATTACTTCTCTGTCCCCACCTTCTGCCGTCAAGAAAAAAGCCTGATTTAGGAAAAGTGTCTTTACTTACTAGAAAAAGGAGGCTTTTGTGATTCAAGCAGGAGAAGGGATTTATTAGAAGTGGTTTCTTGATTCAGGGCATGCTGAAAGCTTGTGTGGGGGCCTCTCCCAGGACTGTGTTGGGCCCCTGCCTTCGGTAGCTCTGTCCTTGCTGTGATGTGCTCAGTTAGGGCTGCTCTGCTGTGGGGAAGCCTTGGCCATCACACCTTCACTTTCAGACGACAGAGGTACTAGCTCTGTACCCCCGCCCTAACCCCGCTTTATCCTTCCTCCTTTCCCAGCTGGCACAGAGGCAGAGAAGAGGAGCAGCTGGGTGGAAGACGGGCGTTAGAGGAAAGGGTGAGGGCATGGCTGTGGAGGCAGTCAAGTTAGCAGAGCCTACTGTTTGAGTCTACCCAGAGGCACCTCGGAAGAAAGGCCTGGCAATCTAGTTCTGAAAAATCAGCCATTGAAAACCGTATGGTGCACAATTGTACACAGATGGGGTCACCATGTGTCGGCATTGACGTGACAGCAACTGGTTGTATCATCGCTGGGAAATTTCAGGAAGCTCACATTTACCGACTGCTGTGTTTTAGGGCTTACATTAAAGCTTTCACATCCATTGTTGCATTTCAGGCTCACAACAACCTTAGAGGAAAAAGAAATTATATCCTGTTTTCACAGATGAGGAAACTGAGGCTCAGAAAGGTCAGGTGTGATTTAGCCAAATCCATCCATCAAGGAAGTGGTGAATCCACGGTGTGACCACTGTAGCGTGCTTGTCATAGTAAGAATGGTGTGTGAGTGCTTTTTTAAAAAAGACTCCCTCCTCTCTCAAAGGTCATGTCTTTTCTTAACCAGCCCCTTGCCTCTATCCTCAGGCAGTTCGGTGGTTATGCCAAGGAAGCCGACTACGTAGCTCGTGCTGCCCAGCTGCGCACCGCCCTGGAGGGTACAGCCACCTACCGGAATGACGTCTATTTCTGCACTGGGTATGACCCTCCCATGAAGCCCTACGGGCGTCGCAATGAGATCTGGCTAATGAAGACATGAGTGACTCAGAGCCAAGAGCTCCTGGAAGTGTGTCTCTGTGGCCATTGACTCGAATTCCAACTGTAGTTCCAGCTACCCAGCTTGCCTTCCAAAGCCAGTCACTGCCAATTTTTTGAAATAAGCATGTTACAGATACTGAGAGCCTTTTTCTCATGGTGGGAAATCACACCCAAGCTAGGCAGTGGCCTTCTGATTGATTTAGGAAATTCTGTGCTAGACCATCAAAAACCCCAGCACCGTTTTCCCAGCTATCTAGGTTACTAAAAACTGATTTTTTTTTTTATTATTGAATTTGTAGTTTTTTTATTGAGAGAAAAATGTGATTTGTATGTGATTCTTACAAGTGCTTTGTCTAAAAAGAAGCTGAAAATAAAGATCTTTGACTTAAAAAGCTGAGACAAATCTTAAGTATAATTATATCTAAGGTCCTACAGTCTTACAGATGATATAGTTATGAGTACTATTGATGGAGGGCGGGGGCAGTGGTGGTTCAGTGGTAGAATTCTTGCCTTCGATGTGGGAGACCTGGGTTCGATTCCCAACCAACCAGTGACCCTCATGCTAAGCTACCACTTGTCTATCCGTGGAGGCTTGTGCGTTGCTATGATGCTGTACATGTTTCAGCAGAGCTTCCAGACTAAGATGGACCAGGAGGAAAGGCCTGATGATCTGCTTCCAAAAATCACCCAAAATAAAACTCTGTGGGTCACAATGGTCCAATCCACAAGTGATCGTGAGGCTGGCACAGGACTGGGCAGCGTTTCGTTTCATTGTGCGTGGGGTCGCCCTGAGTCAGGGACTGGCTTGACAGCAGCTGACAACAGCAACAGCAATTTATGGTGTTTACTGTAGCAGGAGCCCTAGTGGCACAATGGTTAAGTACTCGACAGCTAACAAAAATGTCAGCGGTTCGAACCCACCCAGTGGCTCCGTGGGAGGAGGTTGTGGCAGTCTCCAAACTCCTTCAGAATATAAACCCAGAGACCCCATGATAAGAGAACAGGCATCACGAGCCTGAATATCTCTAAATCGTGGACATTTTACTGTGACTGGTTTGTAGTGATTCCACGATTTTAAGCTGAGAGTCACGAGTATTTACAGCTTTGGTCTGCGAAGGGCTCCAGAAGTCACAAGAGCAAACGGAGGAGAAAATCATCAAACTGTGGCTACATAGACAACCCTGGAGACAAAAAAAAAAAAAAAATTTGCCAGGAGAATTTATTCAGAGTGAGGAGGTAAGATTAGAAAAAGCTGGGCTACAGTTTCATTAACTGAAGTAGATAGTAATGAAAGAAACAATCTGCAGTTTGGCCGAAGAGAAAGAAAGAGGACCCAAGGCTGTGAGCGGGAGGTGAGGAACGTATGTGGGCTGGACCAGGGTTTGTGGATAAGTGTGGATGGAAGAGCCCCGTGGATCATGGGACCGTGCAGAGGACGCACTGATTCTCCCAGGGTTCACCTGGGCTCCATCCTGCCAACAGCCCTCCCCAGGACAGCTGAGAAGGTTTTCCATGAGAAACCCACCTCAGCACCTACCAGCACTTCTGTGGGTTACTAAATGGGCAGGAAGGGCCTGTGGAGTGCTCACTAAGGAAGAAAAACGGGCTTTAATCCTCACCATGAAGCGTTCTTACTGAACGTAAAGTGAGATTTTCTGAAGAGAGGAACGAGAGCTGTGCAATCTCCTTTTGGGGAAGCATTTCGGGGCTGCAGCCTTCTGAGGGGCGGGCTGTGACCGTTGCTGAAGATGTGTGGTAAAACCCACCAGTCAGCATGCTGGCGCCTCACATGCATCACCCCACTTACTCCCCGTGCAGACTCTGAGGGAGGTTCTAGCTCTGTCCCCACACCCACACGAGGGGACTGAGGGCCCTGGGTGCTCCCACAATGAGCTCAGGGCCAAAGCAATAGCAGGGACAGCCAACCAATGAACCTCAGGCGCAGCTACCACCCATCTCTCAGTGGAGGCTTATGGGTTGCTGTGACATGCTTACAGCATGTCAGGGATTTTTGATTTATCATAAGGAAAATAGTAAGTGAAGGGCTTTGAGCAGACGCGTGACACCATCCTATTTTAGAGAGAAGAATCTGTGCACAGTGTGGAAGGGGTTATGACTGGAGGCAAGGAGACCAGTTACGGGACTCGATAGTGGCTAAGCTAGGGTCATGGCAATAGGCATGGAGCGAAGTGGACAGTTTGGAGGGAGAGAGAGGTTCAACAGGACTTGGTGATTAACAGGTGAGTGAGCTGAGGGAGACAGGGTCAAGTGCAATGCCCAGGACTTTGGCCTGAGCAAGTGGGTGGATGAGGCCACCACTCCCTGAGGCAGGGAGCACAGGCGAGAAGCAGGATGACTGGGAGGCAGGGCCCACAAGGGGTGGTTAGACCTACAGAGCATCCAGAGTGAGGCTATCTAATGAACAGTGGAATGTATGGTCTGATGCTGAAGAAAGAAACCCAACCTGGAGATACATGGTTAGATATCCTCACTACGGAAACCCTGGTGGCGCAGTGGTTAAGAGCTATGGCTGCTAACCAAAAGGTCAGTAGTTTGAATCCACCAGGTGCTCCTTGGAAACCCTATGGGGCAGTTCTACTCTATCCTTTAGGGTCTCTATGAGTTGACGGCAAAGGGTTTTTTGGTTTTTTATCATCACTACCGTAGAGTGGATGAATTATGGACTCACCCAGGGAAAGGCTGTAGCACAAGAAGAGAATTTGGGTAAGAAGTCAGACAAAGCCCAGTATTTATGTGAAGAGCAGAGGAAGAGTCTGGCAGAGATCAAAAAGAAAAGGCTGCTGGTGTAGGAGGAAGGTGAGAAAATCTAAAAGGAAGAGGTAATCAGGAAGTGACAAGCGCTCTATCAGTAGGTGCTGCTGACAAAAGTCCTAAATACATCTTGAGCCCGTCTCTGCTGTATCGTCCTGGGACGGGTCATCATTACGCTTACCTGCACTCCTGCAACCACTGCCTGTCTCCACGTTGCTACTCTCACCTCCTTTTGGTCCATTTCTACACAACATCCGGAGGCGTCTTTGCTTTAAAACCCTCTTTTGCGCTTAGACTAGAATTCAAGCTCCATTTCTTTCTTGTCCTAGGGTGCGTGCACTAGCTGTTAGGTCTTTCTGAAACCCTTTTCACCTCCTTTTCAAATGGTTGGATCTTCTCATCCTTCTGGCCCTAACTTAACCCCAGAGGACTTCACTGACCCCTCTATCTAAAGCAGGGCCTGTCCTATAATTCTCTATCATAGCATCGTTTTTCATTTGTTTGTTTGTTTTCCTTTATGACATAAATCACCATTTGTAATTACTGGACTTATTCATTTCCTTTTTTTTCTGTCCCTCACACTAGATTGTAAGTTTAATAAGGAGGAGGCCCATACCTGCTTTGTTCTCCCTTATATCCTCAGCACTTAGGTCAGGGGAGTCCCTGGCAAGCGGTTAACGTGCTCAGCAGCTATTAGAGGTTCAAGTCCACCCAGTGGTGCCTCGGAAGACAGGCCTGGCGAGCTACTTCCAAAAAATCAGAGCACAGTTCTACTCTGACACACATGCTGTGTCATGGATTGAACTATGTCCCCCCAAAAATGTGTGTATCAATTTGGCTGGGCCATGATTCCTGGTAGTGTGATTTTCCTATATGTTGTAAATCCTGCCTCTGTGATGTTAATGAGGGAGGATGGGCTGATGCCCTGAATTTGGACTTTTAGCCTACTTTACTGTGAGGAAATAAACTTTTCTTTGTGAAAGCCATCCACTTGTGGTATCTCTGTTATAGCAGCACTAGATGACTAAGACAGAATTTGGTACCGGGATTGGTGTGCTGCTCTAACAGATACCTAAAATGTGGAAGCAGCTTTGAAACTGTGAATAGATAGAGGAGTGACAGCGGCAGAGGACCAGCAGCAGCAGAGAACCTGCATCGGTAGAGAAGTGGCAACAGCAGAGAACCGGCAGCAGCAGAACCAGGAGACCAGTGCGAGATGGCACTGGAGCCGACCCACGGAGCGAGAGAGAGCTGAGTGCCTGTGCACGGGAGGCTCCCTGGAGGAGTGGGGTGCCTCTGGGCAGTTATCGGTGGAGCTAGGCTTGTGACCCACAGAGCAAGGGAGCTGAGTGCCTGTGCGCGGGAGGCTTCCTGGTGGAGTGGGTGCCTCTGGGCACTTATCAGTGGAGCTACAGAGCTTTGGAACACTTGCCCCAGCAGGGCAGATGCGGGCGTGAGGCCCGAGGGCTGAGACGCCACAGGAAGCAGAGGCTGAAGAAACAAGGAGCGCGAGAAGCCAAGCTGCCTCAGTTTCTAAGGGTGGAGCCATGACCTCTGGTGTTTCTAAGGGTGGAGTCACCACTCAGATGGACTGGGAGAATGGTGCGCCTAAAGCCAAGGGAGCAGAGTTGCTGTCGCAGTGGGCCTGGAAGGCGGAGCTGAAGCCCAGAGCCGAGGGGCCTCTACTCAGAATCTGGAAACTGTGGTCAATACCTAGTAGTCTGGAGGGCAGGGCCATTGTGTAAATTGTCTCGGAGAACAGAAGATTATTTTCAAAGCCTTGAGGGCTAATGTGTTCTGCTGACTTGCTTGGTGCCTGTTATCCCTTCTTTTTCTCCAGTTTCTCCCATTTGTAATGGAAATGTCTAGCGTGTGCCTGTTCTGCCATTGTACCTTTGGAAGCAGATAACTTGTATTCTAGATTTCACAGATGAAGAGGAATTTTTGGATTTTGGACTTGGAGTTCAGACTTTTGCTATGATATGGAATGGATATGTTTTCCATGTTGCAAGGATGTGATTTGGGGGGGGGCCAAAGGATGGACTGTCATGGATTGAATTATGTCCTTCAAAAAATGTGTGTATCAGTTTGGCTGGGCCATGATTCCTGGTATTGTGTGATTTTCTTATATGTTGTAAATCCTGCCTGTATGATGTTAATGAGGGAGGATGGGCTGATGCCCTGAATTTGGACTTTTAGCCTAGTTTGCTGTGAGGAAATAAACTTCTCTTTGTTAAAGCCATCCACTTGCGGTATTTCTGTTATAGCAGCACTAGATGACTAAGACAGGGTCGTCATGAGTCAGAGTTGATGCAACAGCAACTGGTTTACTAAGCTCAGGAATCTATCATTTATGAAAGCATTAAGCTATAAGGAACAGAAAACTGAACCAACAGTAGCTTAAATCAATTTTTATTTTCTCATGTAGCAAGAAATCCAGAGGTAGGCAATGATTGATGTTGGTTCAGTGGCTCAATGCTGACATCTCTGCAGTTGTTTTGCTCTTTTCCTCATGGCTGCAAGATGGCTGGTGTAGCTCCTGCCATCTCATCCATGTTCAAAGCAGGAAAACAAGGGGAGGGGAAAGGCTGTGCCAGCTGCATCTGTCCTAGCTTATAAGGAAACAAAAGTTTTCCCAGAAGTTCTCCCAGCAGATTTCCACTATATCTCATGGACCAGAACTGGGACTCAGAGCCACTCACAGCTGCAAGGGAGAAGTGTGCATTTGGCTTTCCAGCCTCTATAGTGGAGAACGGAGCCCTGGTGGTGCAGTGGTCAAGTGTTCGGTAGCTAACAAAAAGGTTGGCAGTTCAAATCTACCAGCTGCTCCTTGGAAACCCTATGGGGCAGTTCTACTCCGTCCTGTAAGGTCACTGTGAGTCGAAATCGACTTGACAGCAATGGG